TTTACCCAAATCTAAGGAGCGAAGAAACTTCCATATATTAGCTGGAGAAGAATTTATGATATTGTCGTTGAAATATTGACGTTTAGCTGTTCTTACCATTCGGTTGCATCGATTACGTGCCCTCTTGTAGAGACTCCAATTCTCCTCCGACCTATCGTGCTTGAAAGTGCGGAATGCTCTATCCCTCCGTGTCATAGCCATACGGACTCCTCTACTGATCCATGGAGCTGGAGACCGCTTCAGTTTTACCGCCTTTAGTGGAGCATGTACATCATATAAGTTCAATATATATTTGTTAAAAAGAGATACTTTCTCATCGAGTAGCGGAGAATCAAACACGGAAGAAAAGTCAAGACTAGCAGCATCTTCTTTTAAGTTGTCAAGGTCAAGTCGAGCAAAATTACGCATCCAGACAGTGGTGGGCTTTAGTTTAGGTGGTTTTAACCTGTACGAAAGAAAAATAAGGTCATGTTTTGAAAAGCCAGGTGCAGATAACTGCCCATGGTTAACTACATTGTCGGGAATTGTTATAATCAGGTCAAGCCATGTGTCACGTGAAGAAGGATTATGGTGAGTCGGCTCAGAAGGTAAAACTGATAAATCGACGGACTTCACCACATCGAATAATTTAGCAGATTGAGAAGTGTAACATGAAAGATCAGTGTTGAAGTCACCCATGACTATGAGATGCCTGTAATCCGAACACAGCGGCTCCAGAATTGACTCAAGGTTAGAAAAGTAATCAACAGTAGGTGGACAATAAACGACTGCAAGAACAGCCTTAGAACCCCCAACAGAGACCTCGAGAAAGATATACTCGGCAGAGAAAGAGTAAGTTGAAGGTGACGAGATCAAAACTTTGTAAACTATATCGCTGCGCAAGTATATAGCAACACCCCCACCACGCCTACCAATGCGATCATTACGGATCAAAGTATACCCTGGTAATGAAAAAGACGAAGAGGAAAGACTGGGTTTCAGCCAACTTTCTGAAATTAAAATGGCTTGAATGTTATGCTCGTGAAATGTAGCGAGAAAATCAGTATAATGGGAGGGTATACTTTGAGCATTTATATGGCAAGCATTGAAGCAATGGGGAGAGCATTGAAAAATATTGTGCAGTTGAGTACCCAAAGTCTCAGGTTCAGATTGTGAGATAAAGCTATCACAAGAGGAAATACTGTCATTAAAAGCTGAATGAAAAGAATCATCATCTGACATAATAGTTAATAGTTATATGTATAAAATTTAAATCAAAATATAATATATAAATATAAATAAACTACGATCAAATTAGTTATCAATTAATAATATCTGTCCTGCCGGCTGACGAGAGAGAAAAACTCAGATAACAAAACAAGAAATAATCGATTAATAATCGTTTCGTAAGCCAATATGCTGGAAGCCAGGGCGAATAAACTCAACTAATATAAAAAAAATATATATATAACAACCACAGAGTACATTAGATAACAACAACACAAAATTGACAATGACGTGAAGGTTTAAAAATTTAATGGGAAATTATTTGTGATTTGTGCCAAGATAATTTGATATTTACAATCTTACAACAGATAAATTTGTGTTAGTTGTAGGTAGTAAGATAAAAAGAAATTTCTATTAACCGGAGTAGTGTAAATATTGAAATGAATACTGCATTTATGTTAATAAACAATTATAAGCCCTAACAAACAAAATAATAAAGAGAAGAAACAATTACTTTTTCGCCCTGGCTGTCCGTCTAAGTTTTCCTCGCGAAGCCGGAGAAGCTGAGGCCTGCGCTGTTGGGCCAGGATCAGTCGCTTGGTGGAACTCATCTTCAGTGGCCGAGAGTGAAGAGAGGTCGCATGCGGTGTATATACGCTGTCTCGAACCATTTTTTAATTTAACTATGACGTTTCCGTCCATGGTCCAACATCTTCTCATGCCAAATCGCTTACGCGCATTAATGAAAACGTCCCGGCGCTGGCGAGTAAGGAATTCAGAGATAGTATGTGCTGTACCTTTCAACGCAGTCTTCTTATGCCAGACAGCAGTCCTCAAGGAGAGCTCCTTGAAACGCACCAACACAGGTCTACATCTTCCTTCAGACGCACTGCCAAGTCTATGGCAAACAGTGAGCATTTCTGGTGTCAAAGCCAGCCCCATTTTATTGACAAATACACTGACAATGGATTTAGGAAGATCACTATTGGTGTCTTCAGGAATGCCGCTTACTAGCAGATACTTTCTTCGATGTCGCATTTCTAAATCATCAACGGATCTGCAGAGCTCTGAGACTTGACTACGAAGAAGTTGAAGGACAGAAAGCATTTCAATTTTGAACCCCAGAAATTCCTCTTGCAGACGAGTAAGTGAACTATCGGCCTGTGCAGGAGTTGCCTTCCACCGTTCCTCCAGTTCATTCATTTTGTTGAACAGTCTGGTCTCTAGTGCATGTTGTGTCTCTAAAACTGCTGTTATGTTCGCCATTTGAGAAATAAACCAGTGGAAGTGAAGTAAATAACCGACAAGACAGAATATTAAAGCACAATTAAGTAATCATGTACTATATGATTAGATAACGTAAGATAGTGATTTGTGCTTAAAATATAACTATAAAATTGAATAAATTATGAAATTAAGCAATTGTAAGTATTTTTTTTTACGATTTTTATAAGAGAACGAACTTTTCGTGTTTCCCGCCTACCGCCGAAAATTTTCTACTCTATGCATCTGTTTTGTACATAGAGGTAAGGTTTTATGTATATATCAATGACGTCATGAATATGGCAGACAGCGTTTACGCGGGTATAAAAAAGTGAATCAACAGATTGGACAGCCTACTTCCTTGAAGGATGTTCCTGATTTGAAAAAAAAAGCGTTCTATAACTTAGGTAACTTCTGAGGACAACCGAAAAAATCTTTTACAGAGCTCTGTGGGCAATAGGATACCGCGCGGTTTTCTGATAGGTTGGTATTCTGATGGGAGTTTGTAAATTTTCCATTTTCTCATTGTGACTACAAGCATTCAAAAGGCTCTACCTATTCGCTAACTCACCTGAAAACCTCAAGTCGTAGCTATCGTAAAAAGTGAGTAATAGGATATTTGATACTATTAAAAATAAGTTGCGTGTTATGCTCATCCTGTTAGATAATAATCTAATAAAGTTTATTTCTTAGAATCTGCAGATAAAATATGTTTAGCTTTACTATAACAACGTAAAGAAATTGCACCATATTTATGAATTTTAATGAACAAAACCCCCTTGTAATTGGTTGTTTCGAAACTAAAAACAGGTTTTGTCGGCATGTGACGTCACACGTAAACAGGAAGCTGTCAAAAAACAAAATAAAATCAGAGTATATACAAATACAAAACATAAAGTTCAACTTCAATTTCTCTTCTGTAAAGTTATTTGTTTACTTCGTAAATAAATAGTTGATGATAATGGTCATTAGGTGCACTAGAATCTTATGGCAAATCGGGAAATTTTATTTTGTAGAAGGCACCATTGGGCAAAAAGGATAAAGATGTCTTGATACTTGTAATATTTTTATTAAAATAAACACTTTTACTAACTACCTCATAGCATGGAACGTATTCCTAACCATATTCCTATTTTGGCATGCTTTGATATAAATTAGCCATCTGTGTGGGACATAATTTAGTGCACCTATATTACAACATCTAATATATTGACGGGACAGCACTCGGCCCAGAAAAAACCAGTAAGTAATATTTTACCTTGAATTGGAATCTCTAATACGAATAAATAAAAGAAGCTTTATTTTATGTATTTATTTATTGCTCATCTCTACTGATATTGCAACTATTGTTAAGTCAAAATAAAAGCTTCAAAAGTTTAATGTCATCTTTTCATGGTTCCTATTTACCGGCCGGCCTAGAACATTATCTTCATATCTTCTTCACTAATAATTTGTTTTTTCTGCCGTTAGATTCTAGTACACCTATAGTACTTATCTCAATAATGCAAATATTTATACTATGTATAAATCGATCACACGAGGACCACTAGCGATGAGTCGTTATCCATTTTTTAAATCACGTAACGTAACCGCTTTCAGATACCAAAACTGTCTATTTCTGATAACTAGTTATTTCTACAACGCTACAAAAGTCTAAATGAATTTTACTCTTTTACAAATGCGATAAAGCTCAATTTTGGGTTGGTTACTTGATCCGAAAGCCGAGCAACGCGGAACATACAAACATATACTTTATTCATTCACACGCATACTGATATTATGTTCTTGTTTTTTTCACACAGAACTGGTTGCATTTTTTCAATCGATATTATTTAAACGTTTACATTACGCGTTACAATATAAACGGGTATTAAAACTGCAATATAATATAACACTTTACATTGACGGGCATGTACGTCAATGTAAAGTGTTATGCCTTAAAGACGTCTATGTATCGCTGCGAACTGCAATCTTAAGTGATTTACTTAAGAGTGAATTCAGCTTTATTTTGAAGCGTTGTGGAAATAGATAGTTATTTTATCACTGAATCACTAGTCCAGGCAGTCCATCACGCGGTCCAGGCAAATCACTAGTTGAATAACTGTCTATTGTGAATAATGACCGTCGCTAATGACCACCAGCCTTTTAGCTTGATTTTCCCAGAGCCAAACCACTAACCTAACCAAATATTCCTTCTATATGAACTCGCCATATATTTTTTATGCCTAAAGCGGATGTATTTACATTTAGTCCGGAATTATTCCATGGCTCCGAATTTTATGGACGGTCTCGTAGAAAGAGATGCCTTCCTCTGATGTTGCTTCATTCTACGGAACTATTTTGAGGTGCACATGAGCATTTCTGTTTAGTACCTATGCGAGTTCCTTGGTTCCATCCGATGATAAATCAATGCGTTATATATTTTTATACCGATTATCAATTTACTTATATTAAATCGGTATACTGCTCTGTGTACTTATACCGTGTGTATTATACCGATTATACAATTTACTTATAATAAATCGGTATACTTCTCTCTCTGTAATGTTATTCAAACGTCATTTTATTGAAATTAAAATGACAAAAAGAATTAAAATTATCGAATTGCGTAAACTTTGTTCCGTAAAAAGATAAATGACCACAAATCTAGAAATATATTTAATTTAAATTTGTATATATAAATAAACTTACTAATGAATATATTTCTAACTGACGAAAATAATACTTTGACTTACAAATGAAATGTAATTTAAAAGAACTTGCTCACCTGAGCGATCAGCCCTGTGTCATTGAAGGAAGGCTAAATTACAAGAAAATAACGAATGGAGGCTATCGCAACCAAACAGGTATAACAAACGATTTATCATTTACCTATATTTTCATATTAGTAAATAAGCTTAAAAATATGAGTATTGGATTAAGATTTTAGGTGTCATTCATAGTTGTAACGTAAGTGATCATTATTTACTCTTATCTTTCTACTTTTACCAACTTTAAATGTTATACAATATATTATTCTAGTAAGATTCTATGCAAGCAATATCCTTGCAATTTTATATGAGATCAAGTTTTAATAAAACAAAATACTTAAAAAGCAGCCTTATTCCATATCACATAGTATAGTTTCTATTTTTTGAACATATTATAAATTGAATTAAATTCAATTTTTAGAGACAACCTAAAATCTAAATTATTCAAGCTGTAAATTAAAGGTACACAAAAAGTTTAAAGCAATATTCAGTGCTGTTTTTAGTATTATTTTAAATCTCAAAATAAAATTGCTTTTTATTCATGTGTATCAGAAATTATTATTAACCCGTCTCGCGATTGTTTGAACACACAGGTGTGCAAACGCTTCAAGTGCGTTTTGTGACTTAATCGCGTGACGGGTTAATAAATCATACATCTAAGCAACATATGGGTAATAAGTTTAAAATAATATTTATATTTTAAAGATATATTTATTGAAAACAATACTTTGGTGAGGTACTGATTGGATTGGTTTATATGATTATTCAATAAAAAATAAAATCTGATATGTATGGCATAGTCAATTATTAAAAATCTTTAAACAATACTGTTATGTATATTATTGTTTTCCTTTTTCTATTTCAGTATTTAAGGAAAGATGGTTCCGCCTCATCAATAATTATTTATTTTACTTCAAAATAAGTGAAATGGGTAAATTTGATACAAAAAGCCCAGCAGGTTTATTTGTGTTAGAGAATTCGTCTATACAAATGGAGCATGGACAAAGCATACCTTTTTCATTCTCAATATCATTCATGTAAGTTAATAGGGCTTTTTAATTAAATGCCTAAATATATCAATAATTATAATTTAAGAGATATAATTACAGAGATGAACCTGAGAAACGCCATGTTTTTGCTGCTCGGGCTGAAGATAATGTCATACAGTGGGTAATTAAGCTCAGAGAATGTTCATATGAGTACCTGCGCAGTCAGTTACACACCCTTCAATCCAAAATATTTTCTATCACAGGGAAAGTGAGTAAAACTTGTTTTAATACCTATGTGATGCATTTCTATTAATAGTGTAATGCATTTTACAGAAACTAGTGAGAATCTCATGGAGTTAAAACTATGATTAAAGCAATTATTTTTAGTGTTTTTAATATATCAAATATTATTTTGATTTAATGGTAATGTTACATTATATTCCAATCTATATTTTTAAGTTACTCCTACAAGATAGTCTGAAAACTTAAGTGCGGCTGATAAACTAATAAATTGACAATTTCAAACTTAACATACGGCCTCAGTACAATTGAAAAGGGGTTACAAATTTTAGAAAATAGTTACATACTAGTATAATAAAAACTTAGTCTCTGTTCTGTTCTACTCTTCACGCTTTATTTCTTAGAATAAATGAAGCTGTCAATATCAAAACAGCTTTGGTTTACATTGTTTTATTCACAGTAAAGTAAATTATTTACTTCTCACATTTTATTGAAAATGTTTCTTCTAAGTTATTGTGACTTTGGTCCAGATTACACAAACTTAATATATAAATGAAAAATTTAACCCTGACTTACATGAATTCAACTTACACGGCTATCTCTTGGTCACACCTATTAAGTAAGTCCAGGTAGTACTGTATTTACATGTTTTTTTTTATTTCTTTAGGATCCTCTTCTGTTGGTACCTAGAAATGAAGGAGCATGCTTATGGGCTCCAGCAATACCATTTTCCACCACACCTGCATGTTCTGTAAATACTGCTACTAGTTCATTTAGTTGCCACCTACATACAAATAGTTCTTTTACCCTTGAAAGAAGTAAATCCGATGTACAAGCCCATCGCCATTTACAATCTGAATACACCAAAAAAACTACTTTTTATACAGATGACGTTAAATTGAAAAATGAATTAAAAGCTGAAAAAACTTCTAACAAGTTAGAAAGGAGTAAAACTGCTGCCTTGTTCTCAGGGACCACAAACCCTGTAGATGTATCTATATTTGATAATAGGCCAGCCTACTCGAGAGCGGCACCAAGCCCTCCAGTTCGTTCAAAACTTTCACCATCAAGTAGAAGAGTAGAAGTTAATAATGATGTTAGAACTTTCACGGAACAAGGAAAATTCCTTGGAGCAACAGGTATTTTAGATGAAGTTCCAATACCACCTAGAAGAAAGGTATCTCCTAAAACATTAGATGTTCCTAGTAATACGAATAATACAGATGATTCAAGTCCCTCCAACGAAGATCTAATTAAATTTTAAATAAGATACTCATACTCATGTTTAGTAAATATATCCCACCAAGTTATGAAGTAAGTTCTTGCCTGACTGGTGTCAATTCTGCTGCAGCACTCTCTAAAGTAGACTTTAATTTGGTTTTGTTTTAAAGTTATTCTCTAGTCACATGTTATTGAAGAAATATGGTGTACTCCTGGATACTATAGTATCTATATTTATTGTGATTACTGTTGTCTCTGTTATTTACACATATGATAACAAAGTCTGACAGGGCAGAACTAAACCCAAATTTGGTCTCGTTTTGTGCAGCAGAATTGCTACCATTATTGACCTAGTTTATTTGGTAATGAAAGGAACCGTCTTTTTTAATACATTGTTTTTAATTAACTTTGCGATTTGATTGAAGTAATTATTAAAAACATATTAGTAATTGCATATTATAGGGAAAGAATGTCGGAGATTTAGAATCTTTCATTGTTATAAGATTAGAACACATGAAGATATGTTATATAAGTGCACTTTTTCTAATAATTGTGATGACTAATCATTGTATTTATAATCATTATTTAGGGGCCATCCATAAATTACGTCACACGTTACGAGGGGGGGGGGGTCGACAAACTGTGACATTATAACACTATTTAGTAGAATTTATATGGACAAACAGATGACAGCATGGGGTTTAAAACGTAATTTATGGACGGCCCCTAAACTATGTGCAATGTCAGGCATGGTGGATGCGGGAGGCGCAGGACCGATTGCTTTGGAGATCTTTGATCTTTGATCGGCGTTTCTCGGCTCAAGTGATGATGATGATGATGATGTCAGGCAAGGTTAAGGTCAAACTTTTATACCAAAGTTGCCTATTAAAGGTGCTAATGGCGTATGTTGTTGATATTTCTTATGTGCAATTCGGAATCCATAGGCAATGCATGTCTTTTGGAACGTCTACAGTTTTTCAACTAGATGGAACTTAATACAATTAGGTTAAAATGTGTATGTATCATTTTATTAATCAATCATTTATTGCATAAAAATATGGTGTAACAGATGTCATAAAATAAGGGTATCTCATATTTACTGTTTGACAGTGTGCAATAGTTTTAGTAGATGTATAAATTTACATTTTAATCTATTCATGCATTTAGATCAGTGATTGTTTTGTGATACTAACCATTATCAGGAAAATGATTTTGCCCTAACTTTTAAATTGCTGATTTATCCCCAATAATAATATAAGCAAGAGTAATTACCCCTAGGTTGCAAACCACTGCTCTAGATTCTAGCACATTTGTCAGTCCTCTAGAAAAAGGAAAAGGGGACGGTTGCCCTGTTAGCAGAGAGCTCGGGGGATGACGACCCTGCCACTAAAAAGAACTGATGACGCAGTCAGTTGGGTTGATAAGTCTATAGTTGATATAAATTCTTAGTTAACGAACAAAGCGAATATTTAGAGATACTGGTCAGGTAATCTAAAGACTTGCCTAAAGTAATGTTGGGGATAATGTTTCGTGTGAGTTCAGATATTTGGTTAGATTAAAATAGTGGTATGTGATATTTTGCCTATTATTTTCTTTTTTATCTTAGTTTCGCAATACGTAAACAGTTACTTGATAGTGTTTTGATTCAGGTTCGTTTAATTGACATGGGAAGTGTTAAGTAATATTAATTTACATATTAACATCTTTTTTCCGGTACACCAAAATACGATTCATTTTATCATTGCTCATTTTAACAAGGAAAAAGGATGATTCTTTATTTTTTTTCTTTCATTTTTAAGTACTGGGAACAAACCCATTTCCTAATACGATAAATATTAACGAATATTGGCTTCCACTTTCAAACTACAAATAATTGTGCTTCATTATTATATAATATATAGATCTCTCCCTGAACAATGTAATCTTCCAGTTTCCGGTTTACAGTGCTTATCAGAACCATAAATTATATACTCGCGTATTATATAGGTGGTATCTGTAGTTTAATGCATTGATAAACAATTTTTAGCCAAATAACCCTTTTCCAATATAAATTCTAGGAAATTATAATAGATATTTTCTAAACGACTGTTCCGCACTACGCAATAAAGTGATAGAGTTGTCATCATAGTAAAATTATGTGGTACGTACTAATTTTTATTTCTGTTTATTATACTTATATTTCCAGAAAAAATAAACCAAGATAAATTTCATATGTTTAATTTTATTAATTAATTAATATAAGCTCAACGTGAACAATTGTTTCATATATATCTGTTGAATTGATTGTGTCTACACATTCTATAAATTTATTTTATCACAATATTTGACATCACATATATAATTTATTCTAAATAATTGTTATTTACATAAAAATTGATTGATTCTAAAACAAATTGAATGTTTATATGCCTCAAATAAATTTTATAAGCGATTTAATTTTTGAGAAAAGTTTTTTTATTAATAATCATAGAAATAATTATCGCGTACTGTTTTTTTTTGTATGTTTATTTACATGATATTATGTAAAATAATAGCAAATTGATTAAATACGTGCCAAAAGACATTTTCATGTGAAAAATAATGTGTGTGATAATTATTTATAGTTAAGTTCAAATAAATACTGATAAGCATGAACAAATTAATTATTTAGTTAATAGTGCTGTGTAATACTAACTCGATTCTTATATTATCAATTAAAAATCATAATATTCTGTGTTATGTAGTTGTGAAAATCGAAATCTACGGCGGAGACCTTGTATTGAAAAGAACCGGCGAAGAACACAGGGAACTACTTTTAAACCATCAGATCATATTATTATTATATTCGTATCCATCAGTTTCCATGTTCGTTAGACAAAGGGGCCATCCATTAATCAAGTGATGTTTTATTCAGCATTTTTTAACCTCCCCCTCCCTCTTCGTGATACACGGTGAGATTTACGACTACCTCCTCCCCCTCCACCCGAATTACGTGTATTGTTAGTACCTACAATAAATCTTAAATTTTTGAGGTCACTTCAGTTTAGTAATCACTAATCACGCGCTGACGAAAACAAAACACGTGATATATTACTACACCCCCCTTGCCCCTCGTGATATTTCGTGATTGACAAATCCCCTCCCCTCTCGAGCCTCGCGTGATTAATAGCCCCGAAGATGTTGGTCATCTAAATAATTAAAAGCATAGGTAGGTTAAAACAAATCGCTGGAACTCTAGCTATAACTATAAAAATGTATTATTGATTTTATCAAATATTCTTTCATAATGTTCTTGTTTTGTTATTTACATATTAATGGTTTTGGTTGTTGTTGTTTGACTAAATAGGGTAGTTTTGGTAGTGCAAAATAAGACACGAAATTGCACAAAAACTGAAATTTACATCGTAATAAACATAGAAATTCTGATTTTGAGTCTTGAAATCGCATGATATCTTACTAAATTAAAATTAAAGTGATTTTTTGTCTGTGTGTTACGTGACTTGCCTTGAAACCATTGTGGACGTCACTGTTGTTAGGTTAAATCATAAAATAAATAATAAATCAAAGTCTTAGATGGCGCTGTTCTTAGCTTATTTGTATCTTTATATTTCGTAATCGATCGTTAGATGGTGTAGTTCTTGTTTTATCTATCTGTTTTATGTCCATATCACAATGACGTCATGAATATGACGGAATTGTTTTTTTTATGTCAGGCAAGAAACGTGTTTATTCTTCCGAAATTTTTATTTTATGGCATTTTCAAATTAAAATAAACGTTTATTAAAGTATGACCAAAAAGACGAAGCTTTCCTAAAATTTGAAAATACCAAAATGTTTGAAAAATTATAAAGCTAATAAAGAACGTATCTTTTTAAAAGAATATAGACATAGTTATCGATAAAAATTAATAAATATTTTTATAGTTAAAGTTATAGCGAGAGAGATAGACGGTCGCTGCTCTTATGATTTTGTAAATAGGGATCTTTAAAGGGGATAAGTTGGAATGGTAATAAAGGTATGTAAAACATTTTGTGTGACATATCAGATGAAGAGAATTATTTTGAGAATCTCAAAAAGATAATGAATCCAGTATTTAAGTTAAATAAGGGAAATAGAAACAGATTATTCGGCCTAATATTTGGTAAAACATGATGCCTATAGATTATTGTTTTTCATTTATAGATTACAGTAAAATCTATAAGTTGTGGTTCCTTTTTAATTATATATTTATTATGTTGGTGCACGAGTCTGACTCGCTCTTGTCCTCAACCCCCAATCAAAATAGTACTTTCCATTAGGAAAACAGTTTCTAAACAAAATGATAAATACATACTTCAGTAATGAATAGACCCCTGAGTAGTATGGGAATAGTCCATGGCCACACAAATTCACGAGGCGCCCTTGCTCTTGGCGGTTTTTTTCAATAAAATTCATGACTTATGCCTCCTTGTTTGAGCATTTGCCTGTAATGTAGGTTTTCTAAGTATGTTCTTATTGATAATGCGCGTTTATAAATTTGAAATTACGCTTTAGAAATTTTTTAGAAGTTTTCTGTTAAATGTTTTGCTCACGTATATTGAGAGCAACTTATTTTTATATATTTATACCAAAATTACTGTATAATATTTTTAATACTCGTGACATATTAAAATGTATGCATAAGTACATATTATATTAATGGAAATAACCAAGTTTGTTTTATTTAGGTACGTATTTAGCACCGTGTGGTGTTAATATTTATTCGAGACCTGTAGGGCTATTCTTCTAATGTTTACGTAATAATCGCATCTCGATAGAATCTCAACTACTTGCATTTTACCATTGTAATATCTACCTGAAGTCCAATATTAGTAGTGCAATGTCTTCCTCACACATCAATGGTGACAGATAATTATAATATTGGACTTCAGGCAGAGACAAGGACAAAATTCAAGTCGTTGAGATTCTATTGAGATGTGATTATTACGTAAACATTAGCAGAATTGGCCTACTGTACTAGTACAATGGTTTCTAAACGTTTGATGATTATTACCCCAACGGAAACTGACTTTACTAGTAGGGTAGGAGTTGGATGACTATTCATAATTTTCCTCTGTCTAGTCTAGCGCTGGAGACCAGGCTCCTGCATGCATGCGTGACATGGCAAACTTTTTGTTTTTATCCAAATGTCACTTCTCTTTGGTGCCTCCATACGTTTTATCGTCATGTTATTTATCGTTTTATTTTTCCTTAATTCACGTCTTAAATAATCTTTTATTATTCATTTATTATTATTAATTTTATTTAATAGGTTCTACTAATGTAGAATAATGTATAATGTGGGGTAATCCCTATAAAAGGGTTCATTTACCATTGCCTGGGTGATTACTCCTAAGTTATACACCACTGCTGTAGCATAGGTATAGTCAGATGGCTAGGGTATGCTTTCGGCAGGTATATGTCGAATATCTTGGAATAAAAATAAGATAAATTAAATATAATTTTTATTGGTAGACATTAAAATTATTGTTCATGCAGACTTTTACAATGTTTACAATAATCGAATAACCTATAAATATCATCACAGTTAACATAACTGTGATGACCGCTTACGGTCGAGGCACATGTCGGTATTACAGTATACAGTTAATAGTTGAAATTATTTAATTAATGTCTGTTGCTATCATCAATATACGTACATACAATTGTATCTTACTAAAATATATAATATCATTTTTCATTAATGATAAAACTGTATCTTACTATTGGTCAGTTGGACAAACCTCCATTAAGGTTTAATGACGCCTTTAAGCTCTAGTGAATGTCCAATTTGTATGGGTAATGTCGCTTTAAACTAATGACAGTTTTAATGGATGTTTGTGCAACTGGTAGTTAGATACATAATATACTTACAACAATATAGGCCGGAATTCCTATTTACAGTAGGTATTCTTAAAAGTTGTTACACTAGGGTGCGATCGCCTCTATCTAGCCGTAGGATACATCTAAAAAAATTTATGGCGATATTTCAATTTATTTTGCTACTCTGACATGTCTTTAATGATAAATAACTAAGTCGGTAACATTCTTGTCAAATTATGGATCATTCTGTATCGTTCGTCGTCATTAAAATATTAATATATAACAAACTTTTAAATATCGCCATAAAATTGCTAAGATGGCGTATCCTATGGCTAGAGCACAGAACACGTTTACTCTAAGGCGGTCGCAGCCTAGGCAGCTTAGCCACAAATGACAAATTTCCACATATTGATAATAAATATATCAACGCGTTGAGGAATGAAATAAAGTTTGTTACTTGTATAATGTAAATTATATTATCCTGCGAAGGTAGTATTTACCACGTAAGTAACCCGTTAAATATGATGATGTGATATTAAATTTCAATTTTTTATTCTTTTAGCCTTTTTTATATTTTTTATATTGTAAGTCACCATTATATATAGAGACTTATAACGACATGCAATAAACGTAATAGTTTGCGAGAAGTAAAATCAATTTTTAACGCGCAATTCGCCATCTAGTGCCTATGAGATAGTCAGGAGTCTTTGTGTGGGCATAAACCCTACTATTAATAAAACTAACGAGTAACAAAAAAATATGTATCTGAACCCGATTTCGAAATCACTCCGGTGTCCGAATTCACTTCAAAAAGCGGCATCCGCTCAAACTTGAATTGGTAATAATGTTTCGTGAAATAAGTGAAGTGAGTTTCGAAATGATATAGGATTAAAATATCTATGACACGTTTAATCAATCATTTTGTTTAGTATTTTTATACAAAATATGGAATCAATAGGATTTCTTTACTAAATGACTAGAATTCGGACACATGATTGAATTCGAATTCGGGTCTGGATTGTTACAGAATCGCAGGGCTATATATAATTTTAAGATCGATAGTACTCATCCTTGGACATAGTGGGCGGAGCGTTCTTTTGCCCAGGGTCACTAAAAGAGCCCTCGCGAAGTATTTTCAGATTGACAATACTTGAGAGAAATTATTAATCGAAATTATGCCATTACATGTTATAAGTAATACTAACGATACTATAGTTAAACTTTTAAATATTAATTATTTCAAATATTAATTACATTTTGTTATTATGACGAAGACTTGGAAATTCGGGCCCTACTTAGAGTATCACATATTAAATACTTAACATTATCATGTTTCTTAATATTTCCAGTTGTTTTATAAAAACAAGTAGATACATACTTAGTTTTAACTATTTCTAAAATATTATGAAAATAATATGGTACTAATAGTTTGCACATACCCACAATTAAAACATTAAAATCTTACAATCAAAGGTGAACTCTTAATGTAAAATGTAAATAATAAGTACTTAGTACTAATAAATACAAGAAGACCAGTACAACACCTTTCAGGCAATAATCATACAATTATTTATTAAAGATATATTTGAAGCTAAGCTAGGAATGCTTCGTATCCGCCTGACAAAATTACATAACCTACTCCCTAACTGCCGCACTCAGAAACGTCATTTAACTATAAAAGAAAACAAGTACCACTAACAACGATACAAATATAGTATTTTTTTAATTACTTTAATTAATTTACTTCTCTGAGTCCGGCAGTAAGAGATTACCGATGTAGTACCTTTTTATACATTTTTTCATTTTGTGGCACTACAAAGTGACTGCAATACACCTAATCGAAAGTGACATTATAGTCCAATAGTAACGGCTTGGTAATTGGTATACCTAGAACATTCGTCAATATAATATTTTGGTTAACGTGGTTTAAAATCATATTCGTCATGTCAGGAAACTAGAATGATTAGCGACGGATTAAAGTGTGATAAAATAACTCTAATTAATTGTAATTTTTTTTCAGATTCTTAACTATTATTATTGTATCAGTAGGTATCATTTTCAATTCACCCATTTTTTTATTAGTGTGATTGAACAAATAGTGTGACAAAATTTTTTTTTGGACGATTCAAAGTGCTTGTAAGCCTACTTGAATAAAGATATTTTCATGTTTCAAATGAGCTACTAGCTGAAATTACAGTAATAGGTGGTAATGGTATATAATATCTCTGTTATACTCGTAGTACCACAATAACAATAATACTCTACTGCATGGATGCTTTCCCAAATCTTTTTAAAAACATTGATAATCTAAATATTACAACACCTTTGTAGTGCCGTATTGTTGGTGTCGTTCTTAAGTAACTACAGGTACTATAGAACACCTAAACTACATAATTGATCGGCTTAGATCTATTACAAATATCTGACAATGGATTAGAACTAGGATATTACAGATGGAGCCTACGAGCTGCTCCATAAGCTCTGCATCACCTGCTTACACCTGGATAACGGTCTTGGAATTCAACTCGATGAAAACACATTTCATCACTGTGTTATTACTGAGTGTTCACTGTATTGTTTGCGTGACACCTACGTTTTCCGAGCCGATACCAAGTTGTGACGACAAATTGACGTCATTGGCGTGCCCCTTTTGCTAATCTATTGTCGTTGATTGACATTTTAAAGTAGTTGTGACTCTATAATTAAACTTATAGTCTTGGACTGGCACGCTGCTGCGTGTGAAGTTGGAAAGAGGCGGATTTGAGGTGGAAAATATTTAGACCCTTTTTTTAAAGAAGGTTATTATTCAGTCCTTCCAACATTTGTTTCGCTGAATGAAGCGAATAAGGACTGTTAAAAGAATAGTTAGTTGCCGCCATAGTCACGTAGTTCACGGTTGCCAAGTGGGAGCGTGGGTCTGTAGTTGTGGAGTAGTTCCATAGCCTCAGTTCCGCATGATGGTTCGCCGCATCGTAGCTTCCGCATTAGTGCCAACTGAAAAAACAAGTATAGATATAAGGACTACAATTATTTCATTACTATTAAATATTATTTATATAGCAGTGTATAGTTAACAAAATTTTAACTCTGGCAGATTACGGTGACGATTTGAGAAAAGTGGCAGAATTTGGCAGATTTTAAGAAAATCTTTATATTTTTTGAAATATATTGTAATTATGTATATCTATTTTAAATACTTATGATTTTGAATGCCTTATAGTTTACTTTATTTTTACTAAGTATTTATGGTACCTAGCTAATTATATACCTAATAAGGTGGCAACTTTTGTTGCTTGATAAGTAACACGGGGAAATTTCAGAAAAATAATCTTCAAAGAGTTGACGAGTTTCGACAAATGAAAATCGTCAAAAGTGTAAGCGATTTATTGGAAACTGGTGGAAGTAGCACCAGTTAAATTTTAAGTGTGGACAAATTCTGGGAAGCAATTGGGAAGATGCCAATGGAAGTCCAATAAAGGAATGTGTAGTCTCTTTTAAACCAACTAAAAAATAGTTAAAAAATGTCCTTAAAAATCAAAATAAAAAAATAAAGAATGAAGCAGATGTTGATACATAAATTGAATAGTTAATTATATTTAATAAAGTAATATCCTTGAATATTTAATAGGTATTTTATTTATTCATCTATAGTTCCACATAAAAGAGTAGCAAACGAAATTATAAGTAACTAAAATTATTTTGGCTAACAACACCAGTCTCTATACAACTGCGACACTGTCAACGTTAAAATTGATTTCCATGAAAAATTATAATCGACAGGGGCGCCCTCACTTATTTTCTTCTCTTTTGTGTCGCACTGTACCTATTCTATGGACGCAATAATATGATGGCATATTTTTGCCACTTTCTGGAGACGGGTTTGGCAGATTTTGAAACTGTCACCCGGTAGAAAGATTTCCAGAAAGGCTGATAGAAGTCTGATGAAAGTAATTTAAAACAGGAAAAAAGAGTCCTACGTCTAGCGGTAGATTTATGTGGACTAATTATGAAATATTTAGTGCATTCATTCGCTTTTGAATGTAATAATTATAAATATAAAATAATGTGAAATCAAAAGTGCTGCCAAGTCAAGATGTAATACACCTAACAACGTATTAGAAGTAAAGCGTATGTGATGGGTGTGACTGAATATGAAAAACAAAATGTTGGGATAAAAACATAATGTAGGTGGCATGGAGGGGGCTTGTCTGAGAGTCGTTGACGTACAATTGTATTTTTGTATGAAGTCATCACGAAGGAATTCAGATTATTATCTATATTTGTCAAATGCATTTACAATTACATATTAACAAACATCTCAGATGCCCGAGACGTTTGAATTTTTTAAGTAATTTCCTATAAAGCAAATATTTTTTATTCAAAACCAAGCTTTTATAAGGTGGTCAGCTTGTGTTTACGTTTATTTGAATATATTAAATTTACAGCAACAGAATATTCATATATTTATCAATTATTTAAAAAATATATATAATTATTTATATTAAATAGGTACAATGTTTTAATATATTTCAAGGAGTCTGAAGTTGAAAAAAGTACCTGTTCAGCAGAAACTTGGATGGGCTCTTTGAAAAGAATCCATGTGACAGATTCGGTGCAGGGCGGGGTAGTAAGCGAGCCGGGGTAGGTCCAGTAAGCGACGCGAGGTGGTAGTAACTGCGCAGGGTCCAACGGGTCTGACAGCGTTACTTTATCACCTTTATGCTGAATGAATGGTAACAAACGCACCACTTTGTCCAACTCCTTGTGTTTTGATCCAACCTGAAAAAGAAAATATACGTAATACTTAAACATCTAAAATAATCAAAAGAGTAAATGAGTTAGTCGTAAAAACGCAACAGAGTTTTTAATAGACAAGCTTGTAGTCCATCTTGCGTGCTCGGATTCAAATATTCAGTCTATGCTGGATTGGCTGTGAAGCAAGACTTTTATATAAGGCCTATAACATTATTTCTATCGTGTTGTTACAGCTGTTATTTATTTTACTAATTGTTTGAGTTGACAAAAACATACGTGATGACACAGACAAACGAGATAGGGCACACGCAGTGTGGATAACGTGTTTGTACATAGGTACTAAGCGGTACGGAAGAGGTCAATCATAATTGGCAAAGAGGTTTACTATGTAGATAGTAAACAAATCTTTCTCCCTGTTTATTTGGTAGCGCACGTAAAGTTACTAACTAGTGCACATGATACGCCTAGCGAATTAAAACTCTTTTATTCTTTCGATAGTTATTGCTATGTATTGTGATATCAATTTGTGTACCGATGTATCTTTACACCTATATTTATAATTAGTATTTGAATACTTACATTAAGGCTATACTTATACCGTTTTTTCATTTTTAAGTAGAGGTTACTCACGATTTATTAAGTTACATATTCAGAAAACTAATTAGTACCTACATAAATTTTAATATTGTGTTACGAAACGTTAAATGATATTCACGTTTTTTTTTATCTCTTTTTTAACCACCATCGGAGATAAAGAGGAATAAAGATGTATAATTTATGATATCCCTATTGTATCCCTACCCTAGAGGTCGATGACGGGTATTTATTGATATACTTGCAATTTTGTTACTTAATATAGAATGAACTGATAAATAATAGAATGAACACAAAAATGTTTTTAAATTTTAAATAAAAATAATGCAAATATGTTAACGACACTAAATCATACAAAAATAATAGGTTTAAAAGTTACCATGTACTTAGATATATTAATTTAGGTAATATACCGATGGACTGATTTGTTTTGGAATCTAATTTTCATAAAATATTTTTAAGATTAATACCAATACAGCATGCAAAATTTGTCAAATACTAAATATATTTCAAAGTCGCACGGAAACTTAAAATATGGCAAAAAAGTGATTTTTGGGTTTTTTATATGAACATGAAATTATAACTCATCGATAGATGTGTATTTCTGTGTTAGTTTTCAACCTTATTTTCAGTAAATAAGTAATAAATAAGTTATTTCATAGGTACAGTTAAGTTTCGTTAATGTACCTACGTTGATTGACAAGACGTCCTTCAATTGGATCACATGATATTTTGCTTACAGATCGTTCATGATGATGACTAAAAAAAGCTTTTACGACTAACGTCTCGGCGTTGAGTAGGAAAATCGATGTTTGCCAAATTTCCACATTATCTATTAGAAGTTTATATGCAACTTGTAAAAGAGAATGCTTTAATTATTTTATTTGATGTTCACAATGTAATACTGAAAAATATTCCTAATTAAAAATGCTTTAAAAATCCACTTGGTCCCAACACCCTGAGATGGGTTTCGAACCCATGACCTTTCGCAAAACAATGCTCAACTAAAGTCTGTCAGTCGTCCGGATTGCGAAAGGTCGAGGGTTCGAGTCAGAATGTCTGTCTCAGAGTGCCTGGGGCTGGTGGGGTTTTCAAGCAATTTTCACTAAGAATATTTTCTAGATTAGAACAGTGAATGCAGAATTGGTCAAATATAATAATTCGAATAAGTTTAAATGGTAACTTTGGAAAAGTTTTCTATTGTATCAAATCACGTTTGATTGTTAGGAAATCCTTAGCAATATGATGTACTTTTTTTATAAATTTCGTATTTTTTTATTACAGCTTATTTGGACGTTATTATTATAAAGTCGATGGTGGAGACGTGTATATATAGATGTATATATAAATTATAGTTGAGTGAAACTCGTGTCTCCGTGAGCGAGAGCTACTTATGATGATAAGGCTGAATTTACTTAAATGTTTATTTGCTTTGACTAATTATTCGTAACATTGAATAATCTCTCACTTGTTTAAATGACAGAGGATTATAAAGATTTTTATTGTTTTTATTTTCTAATCTTATTTAAATATTAACTGACTTCATACTCTTGGTGTTATTTTTCAATGTAAAGATTCTACATGAAATAAAACACGAAGAAATTTAGTTACTGAGTTTTTTGCTGTTATTGAGTTTTTTGCTGGTCATAATTAGTATTTAAGTTCTTCTGTCATCGATTTCCGAACCAAATGGGTACCAAATTAAATGGGTACCTAGACCCAAAGGTAATTTGCTAGGTAACAGACAGTGCATTTAAAATTTATGAGACACCATACGTGTTGCGATAGCATAAATGTCATCGTACCTATTTATAATTTTCCCTTCGATATCGAAAATTCAGATTACAAATCGGTTTCATAAAAAGAGATTGCCTATAGTATGCAATTTGGTGTCATATTATATCACGATGTGCCTTCATATAATTTTCTTCATTTATTTCAAAAATGATCAAATGTGCATAATAAATCACAAAACATTTTTTCTGTGCATCGCAGGATTCGTAAGAAAAACACAAACAAAGAAGGTTATTATTCTTTTCATATGGATTCAATGCCAAGTTTTTACTTTTATTTCGCTCTAAATGTCGCTATTATTTTCAAATGAAATAAAAATGCACCATAGGATCGATTGTCCAATTGAAATTCGAATAATCTATATATAAATTTAATACTGGCAAATCTGCACAATATACAATATCTTAAATCTTTAACTTAATAGTGCAAGTGGTTATTAACACTAAACGTTCTAATTCATTTGCATTTTTCCGGTAAATCTGTGTATTGATATTTTCAATACACAGATGTACCGGAAATAAAATGTTAGTTTAATAAAATGTACAATATATATACAAAAGTAAACCATATTTGGCCAAATCTTTTCTTTACTGAGTTTTTAAGCTTACAAGATTCTGAGTTGTTGCTATATACTGTGAATAATTTTCCTGTTATTAAAACAGTCATCTAAAGATACCCCTCTTAGCTGATATTTTTACCTTCGCTGCAGGTTTAAATATAGAGACAACACCCATCCTTGTAAGTGCAATAGCTGACAGTTATAAAAGGATTATGTTATAGGGCTTCTTATCTATTCGCCAGTGCTGATTTAATGTAAGGAACTTTCTTATAATAAATCCGCACCATATAAATGAATAACTCGTTTTATTATCACGGAACCTACGGAACAATGAAATCCGTTAATTCACTTTTTTTAAATTCTTCTTTAACTATGAAGTTTTCAATACGATTTTTTTTGTTTTGGTTTGTTTCACTTTAAAATTACATCATCAAGTTTGAAATCTATTTTTTACTACATCGCGTAGGTTGTCCCCAATAAAAATGAAAAGCTGAATTTTTTTTACAGAATTACGCATACAATGTCATTAATATTTTGAAGTGCAGAGCTTTTCTGTGACTTTCGATAAGTGAATTTAGCTATTTTTCAAATGAGTAAATATCTCATTGTGACATTTTTGAACATAGGTACCTCAATATATCGCAAGGGCGCCTAAATCAAAGCTCATTAGTTAAAATTGTATGTAAACAATGATTTTCAAATACCTAAATTATAATTAAAAGTGCAAAGACTTTTTAAAAATAGAACTGACTTCAAACTTTAAAAATATGGTAGATAATACTTATCTCAAAAGCTGTTTATACAAGAAATTGCTATTGAAGACGGGCGGAGGTCTTCTGTAAGCTATTAATCAAATGATAGGCGCCCGACTTATATATCACTTTCTTGAATAAGTACCTTTTGAAATAAGTATTGTTTATCATATTTTTTTTAGTTTTTATATCATGCTTTTTATTGATATTGATATTTTTTATATAATAGGTAACACTAAAAATATTAAATATCTATATAAATGAAAAAAATCGACATAGTGAAAGTTTTAGAAAAGAAGATTTTATACATAATTTATTCCAATAATTCTATACTCTAATTTTAAAAAGAGGAAATATTGAATTGCTTGTTTCTTTAATCTATGTGAAGCTACTTAATACATATATGCATGCGAAGTCATAGGCTGACATAGGCTATAATATATGCATGCGAAGTCGCAGGGAAGCGGCTTGTTTGATAGAAATTCATTCACAATTCAAGAAGAAATCGATTAACATACCTATTTTCATAACAAAATAAACATAGAAAATTCACCTTTCGGATTTTGAATGAATTCTAAATACGCAATATTTTGTTTTTTAAGCTGAAATGGGCCATGTATTACCATATCAATTAAATATTTTGTGGAAAGCGTATTTTGTTTTGTTATAAAAGGAAAACTACTGAATCGATTTCAATAAAATTTAAATGGGACCATTAAGCTGACCGATTTTCAAAGATAGGCGGAAATATCGGTGAACATACATAAAAAAATACATCGCCGTCGAACAAATAACCTCCTTGTGGATTTTGAAGTCAGTTAAAAACTATATTATAACATCGTTGTCTAATTTTTAGATTTGTATTAATCTGCGCGGAATACATCATTATCTAAAGGTTATTCTTATAAAAACAGTATAGAGTTTCAACCAAATTAAACCTACTTCAAAGTAAATAAAAACTTTATTTCAATGAATCTTTATGACGTGACAGCAATGCGCTCGACGATGTGGTCATTTTCTCTTTATTTAAACGCAGTCAAGTGGACTAGAGCGTTATTAAAATCAAATATTATATGTAATGAGATTTTAATAACCAAATGTAATAGTTAATAATGATTACTATTTAAAACTGTCATTAAAGGCAGGAAAACATAATAATTAGGAGCAATTAGATATGCTATCAGGAATTTGTCAGACTTTACATTACACCTAGGCATATTATATTTTTCCGAAAACGAAATTTCGTCTATTTTCGAATGCTAATAAGACTGCGAAGAAACTCATTTTTTGATTATCAGATAACTCTGATGCACAGAATACCTTCACGGATATGATTTTAAGAAAATTATAAGAACAATTAGAAAATTTCTTAATATTTTTCGAGTACATGCAGAATACACCCTTAAGGTGTCATATTAATTCGCACTAGTTACAGTTGACACGTGATGTAAAACAGAACGAATGCAACTATGATTGGGAATATCCGTTGTTGTGTTGATGATATGAACGTATAGTACAATGTACACTTCCATTCGAAACAAATGAATCAAATGGTTTTTAAAGAATGTAATAAGTAGTTTTAATATTATATATAACATATCAATTGAAAAACGCAAATATATTTTATTTTAATGAATTAACATAATCTTTGAGTTACTAGTTTGCAAATAAATTGCCTCTCACATCGGCACAGAACTTACTTTCACTTGATGTGTTACATCTCGTCATAACTTTGTTTTAATGATTTATTCAAGTGCTCTAAGTCAGTCTGATGGTTATTTTATTTGATATACTATATATAAAGAAACGATATGTTACTTTCATATAAGTGATTGAAGCTAATATAATCAATTAAATTAATAATAAATTTATTTAACAAGGTCAGGTTGGTCTTTCCCTAAAACTTTTATAAATATAAATCCGAGTATTTTATTTCATTCTAAGTAGTAATATAATTGTATATAAATAGATAAACTAAAATAGTTTCGTAAATGAATTGTTGATAAGTGCCATTAGTTCTCAGATCCTTACCATTAGTAAGACACCTAAAACAGCCAGTCCATCAGGTTTTCCTGCTGCCTCTGTAAAGCTGTCGTATTTGGATGTGTTCCAATGGACGAGATGCAATTCTCCGGAGAAGGATCGTCCATCCACTGTGTGTTCAGAGCCTTCGCCGTCCTCAGCGCCCCAGTGGCAGTGCCATTGTTGGAGTTTATAGACATCGGAGCCTAGTGGGCCCCCACGTAATTCTGCAAAAGGACTTCTAACCTTAACATGTTAAAATTTCACAATTCGAATGTGTGAAACATTGGAGCCATATATCTGTCGAATAACATATTATGCGGTTGGAATGATGTCTCATAAAAGTTACGATTTTCCTTGTACCCAACGATATTATGTATTTTGTACAAAGACGCGTAAGTATAAGAATATGAGCGTTTTATTCTTTCTTGTCAGATTACATTATGTTATTAAACCTTGAGTTAACATTTATCATTAAAAGAAATCGTAACTTAAACCGTTTTTTGGGAAGGTTACGAAAATCATAGTCATTACAACATATTTTCACTTCAATGATAGCGTAAAAAATAATAGATATTGTTTTAATTCATTAAATAACCCTTCTAGCTACTTGTATGCAAAATCGAATAGAGCTGTGAGTCATCAAGACACGAGTGGGGAACAGTAGGGATCGATGGGAATACAAATTGGCTCACGCGAAGCAACTACCTGTCTGGAGGGTCACAATATTATCAACAGTGCTATTAATAAAGTCGGAGTAAATTTACGCTATAATTCCAATTTTAGTATAAGTTCAAATTAATATTATATCTCTACAGAAAATAAGCAAACCTACTATCTTCTAGGAGTAAAAATTACTCCCGAAGAACCTCGTACTAGCTTAACCTTTGCTAAGTCTCTGTTTAATGATATGAATTTTGACTTACACTAAGTGCAGTCACAACGTAAATTTACTCCAACACTAAACCTTGTTTCATATCAAAAGCTTTAACTCAGTTATCAAAGTCAAAAATTAAAATCTTCGATATTGTCGAAAAATAAATTTACAAATTTACTCCGAATTTCTTTCAATTATTGTTTTCTCTCTATATATATGTCGAAAATTTTAAAGTAATTATGAAGCCACAAGTAAATTTTACAATTTTTAACGCATCGTCATCAATCTCTTGTCTCATTTGCTGATTTCGTCTTCGATTTAAATTTGTTACTGTCTTCTATCGACAGCAACTCATTGTGCTGACACTCACCGGATTCATAACCATTTTCGTCGACACGCCAACAGTAACCGGGATTGACGACGGAGCGGGTGTGGTTGACGGAATACTTCCACCGGAGTGGTGGGGCGGAGCCTCCACTGCTGGCGCGTGACGTCACTATGTCCACGGGACTCTGCCGCGCGCCTCTCGCCTCCGGGTATTTTTCTTCCCAAGTTGCTGGGCCTGCAGATCAAGTGTTATTGTTAATGAAAAAAATCGAAATCCAATTCTCTAGACAGAGATTGTATTCTGAAAACCAATTTTCTATATATCGTCAACTTCATTAACACGTAAGTTAGAGTAGTTAAGACGAAACAATCCACGACATATTGAATTTCTATTTAAAAAAACAGTTACAGGTAACTATTTCATAACTGAAATTAACAAACTATTGCTAAAAAATTTAACTGCCACTGGGTTTACTTCCTTGCTGTTGTGTTTAGATTTTTTTTTCATAAAGTGAAAGGGATTCTACTTACATAAATATAATTATTTACGATATCTGAGTGATCTGAGATACAAAAGAACAATTTTTATTAAATAATCGAATTATAGGTTACGCTGCCACATATTGAGTTGTTATCACTTAACATTATAGCTTGTAAAGTAGTGTAGTGCCTATTCAATAAACATTATACATTTATTTGGTGATCACTTCAAAGTTTCTATATAATACGAGCAGGCCCCGGGCTTAGGTGACTGGCGCCCTGGTCAAATGGTCTACTGGCGCCCCCCTTATTAATTACTATAATGTAAAAGCCAATAAACTATGTTACTTATATTTTATGAAGGAAATAACAAGAAAACACGTCTTTCATACACAAAACTGTAGACATTTATTTCTACATAATTCACACTTCCAGCAAATATTACAACTTAAAATTATATTTTTAAAGCAATTTGTTTTTCTCATTTCTTTTTATTATTCCTTTTGTTTTGCGCCTCCAAAAATTTGGTGCCCTGGGCAAATGCTCAGTCTGCCCATTTATAGCCCGGGGCCTGAATACGAGGGAACTCCCAATGTAATGCCACTAACCGGTTACTAATATGGAATCAAAATCGTAACGAAATGAGGACACATCACATGTGACTAATTCTGTATATCTACAATGGTCTACGGTTGAATGACGGCGGCATTGATCAACAAATCTCGGTCGCACTCAACTGACGAATTTAATTACAACGTCAGCTTTTTATGTTTATTGTAGCAGGAAGTGTTTAGCTAAAGTTTCAACACTGTTTTAAATGTTGTTGCTTTCGATTGTTTTACAGTGCATTGTTTATTAGTTGCTTATAAAAAAATTACCAAGATTTATCCGCGGTAAAGTCTAACTAATGTATCAACACAAATAATACCACAGCGCGACGTCCCGTAACGAAAGAAGGACGAACAGACACATTTTCCTAAAAGTATGGATAAATAATACAGCGATTACTGTTTTAGAAAGTTGTATAGAAAAGGTAAAGGCGCTGTCATATAAATCAAAAGTCTAAAACAGGTTTTTGATTGTAATACATGAAAAAAATATTATATATACTAGCTTAATTATATCCGCGTGTGATGTAGCTTCCCTTAGACGAAAGAATTTTTGAAATCGTTCCAGTACTTTTGGAGCCTATTAAATGAAAATATTTAAAGCTTTTCAATCAAATAATGTCTTATATTGGTTTTCTTAAGTAATAGAGAAATAGGTGATCGATTAAAAAAAAAAAGGTACCGAATCCAGTGTGTTAGCTAACGTGTACCAGTGTTTAAGTAGTTTTTCTTATCTTTCGGCGTGGTCTTTACATTAATTTGCATACATAAACCTGTGAAATAAGTGTAAGTGACAATCTTGACATGGTGTGTCACAACAATTTATCTCACACCACGTGTAGGTACCGTTTTTCTATACCGTAAGTGAGAAGCGTAACCATGATACGACGCTTATACAAACATTTTTATAATGCCAAATCTTGTTAGTTTAATACTTCCGGGAAAATATGCGAGTATATGTGAGATTGTTATCTTGATATTATAATGATACATCTGTTTGCTACAGAAATTATTGGTTTATATTTTAATTATGCAGCTATTCTCGTGAAAAAGTAGGAGTATAATTGAATATAGACCACTTGATCTGTGGTCCCTATAATAGAGATACCAAAGATAAATGATTTACATTTAGTGAAACCTATTCTGATTGACGATTATATGGTGTAATATTAGTAATTTCTTAATATTCTTATATTTTAGTATATATAAGCTTTTAAACACGTTCGCTAAGTTTTATAAATTTACCGTATGTCTGTATGTTTAGCCACGAATTTTGGGCAAGTTGGACTTAAGGATCGCGATTATTCTTTTTGTTTGATTGCGTGTCTTTCAAAGGTTTGAAGATATAAACTATTAAATTGTAATCGACTTAAAAAAAATGAGCAAATAAAAAATATTTTTTAAACAATTCACTAAACTTCTATTCGAATGTTTAACATAAATTACTTACATGAAACTTACAGCATTATTTTTCAAGTTTCTTTAGCATTCTTGAAATTGATTTTATTTAAAACTAACTGATTTACTGCGACTTTGACTGTGTAAAGTATGGCCTTTTTCACTCGCGTATGATGTTCTTTCCGTAGGTGAAAGAATTTTTAAGTCCAGGAGTATATTCAATCCAAACAAACAAATATCCAACTTTTACTCTTAATGATATTAATATATTTCTATACAAGTATGTAACACTAAATCAAAATATTATGCGTAATTGTTTAAACGTAAATGGTGTACAGTATTGTCCCTTTCTGAGTTACTTCGTTGTATTCGAAACAATTGTTTTTTACATATTTACATAATTCAAAGGCGTAAGCATGATAAACAGCGACTACGATGTTTTAAGTACAATTTTTAAAAAATTCTATCTCGTCTTGACAAAGTGCTTGTACGTAGGTTGTTGCAAAAGTCTTGCGAAAGCATAATTATTAATTTTTGTTTTTCAAAATAAAATACACCAGCATTAATACATTTATGCATACGTTCAAACCACATACGAGGGTCAAACTGAAAGTTCTTAGAAAATCAAAAACTGATTACATTAGCCAGTTATTAGTTTTATTATATCTTTTCAAAATATTGTCCATTCACGTCAATACACCGCTGCATGCGATGGAACCACTGGGAAAAGCACTTTGCCCACTCGTCCTTAGGGGTCTCTTCAATGGCATCGCGATACGCAGCCACCGCTTCTTCAGCATTCATAAACCGCTTTCCTTTAAGTTTTTCTTTAATTTTTGGAAATAAATAAAAATCACAAGGCGCGAGGTCGGGGCTATACGGCGGGTGACCCAGTAATTCAACGTTTGATGTCGCCAAATAGTCGATCGTTCGCTTGGCGGTGTGCGACGAGGCGTTGTCGTGGTGAAGGAGGATCCTACTGCGAGGTCGTTTCTCTCGAACTTTTTCCAAGACAAGTGGCAAACAATTGGTAGTGTACCATTCTGCAGAAACTGTTTTTTGATCCTCTAACACAATTGTTGCAAAATGACCTATCCTTCCAAAGAACGAGGCCACCATTTTTTTTCCCGCACTTCGATCTCTCTTCACTTTAGTTGGCAACTCCTCGAAAGGAAACACCCACTGAGCAGATTGTCTTTTGGTTTTAGGATCATAACAGTAAATCCAGCTTTCGTCACCTGTTAGTATGTCGAACACAGCATTTGAGTCACCTCCGTTAAATCTTTCAATCATTTTACGACACCAATCCACACGATGGAGTTTTTGAGCCTCAGTCAAATTATGAGGTATCCACCGGGCGCAAAGCTTCCTGACCGCTAAATGTTCGTGGAGGATTTTGTGCACTTGACTCATACCGATGCCTAAGCTTGTCCGAATCTGTTGATAGGTCACTCTTTTGTCAGTCTCTATCATACGCCGCACAACACAGATGTTATCTTCAGTCGTCGCTGTAGAAGGCCGTCCCTCACGTAAATCATCAGTGAGATTAGTGCGACCACGTTTAAACTCATTAAACCAGTTGTAAACAGTCGCACGAGATGGGGCTTCATCGTGAAAGGCCAATCGTAGTCTATCATAACTTTCTTGTTGACTTAAATGACATCGAAAGTCATAAAAAATCATTGCACGAAAATTTTCTCGTGTTAAATTCATGATGACGTGACACAGACAATTTTCAATTTGCCGCCAAATCGTAAAACAAATGACAAATGAATGAAATATATACTCAGTAATATTGGCAAAGAGTTATATTTTCAAATTTTAGAATTATTTTTTTATTATATTGTTTATGAGTGGCCAGTTCTAAGAACTTTCAGTTTGACCCTCGTATTAACAATATTTTTCCATTCATCCTTCGTGACACTGGCGCAGGCCTCATCACACGCACTAGCCGGGGTCGTACGTTTTCAACATTTTTTTGCACCACTCTACACGTGTCTTACGTTGTTACGGGTTTAAAAGTAGACAAGTTTTTAGTAATACTATATCAGTGCTTAATGTATCCTAAAGGCAAGGCCAGATCTACAGCAGGCAGGGCCAGTGGGGGCACTCGCTCACTCTAAAAAAATAACAATATTCACAAAAATGTCTTAAAACTCATAAACATAAGATTACGATGACACGTTGTCAAAGTCCCTAAATGAAATAAACAAATAGATAGATAGATAATCGTTTAGATATCATACATTGCAAAAATATGATAATACTAGCTGTTTGCCCGTGACTTCACCCGCGTAAATTATAGTTTTTGTTACCCGCATCGGAGCGTTTCTATACAATGCAAACAAGCATTAAAATCTTTTCTCTTTATAATACTACTATCGAAAGATAATATCTTTCGATAGTAGTATTATTTAGATTTTTTAATAACAAAGGGTATTGTTAATAGGAATCAAAACGAATTAATTGTCTTAATAGTCCGTTATTTAATGCAGTTATATAGTTTACAAACGTTTATTGTTTAATTATACTTAGATATTCATTAAATAGATTTTCATATATTAATACATAATATAAAACAAAGTAGCTTTCCGTTTTCCTGTCCCTTTATTATTATAAGATCTTTAAAACTACGCACACAGATTTTGATGCGGTTTTTTTAATAGATGGATGATTCAAAAGGAAGATTTTTATGTATAATACAGGACGACGCAAGTGAAGCCGCTGGCGGAAAGTTATAGTATGTATT